GGTTACGTGTTTATACTCTTAACGCGAGTCGGAAATGATTTTTCCATTCTCGCGGTTTCCCTTATCGTTTTATACTTTTTAACGTACAACCAGCACGGATAACGTTATGTAAAGCTGAAATCGTTCTTTAAATCGTATATCGATCTTTCATCGTCATACCTTTAATCAAAATGTCGTATTTACCAAGTTTTATCTTCGTTTTCTTCGTTTCATTCAATTTCGCAACTTCTTCTATAATATAAATTCACTCACTTTCTTGAGGCTTTTATTTTCCAAGTAAAGTTATAAAACAAATTTTATCTCTAAAAGATTCATTTGAATTCATATCATTTCATTTTTCACATTTTATGAATTATAATTTTACGTAGTAATATTTCAATGTACGTTTATATCTTGGGATATAATATTATGTAGGATCGTTTAAATGAAAAAGACAGAACATTGTAATCACAATATAGAGAAATTAAATAATAAAGGGAAGTAAATTTTTCAGTTAAATTTAAATTTAAATTTAATCTTTTTAAATACAGAAATTTCAATAATATTCGAAAACGAAGTACTCGTTGCAACATTTGAATGAAGCAAACTACCTTACGCAAAAGTATGAATTTCGATAAACATCCTAAATTTTCGCAAAGTGAAATCCTAGGAATTTTTATTCGAATGTTAATTTTTAGTTAGTACGTGTTGTGAGGTGTTACACTGTGAACAATTCTTACTCTAAAATTCTTCTGTTCTTAAATTTCCAAATATTCTCAATTTGCGTCCGTAAATCATGTGAAAATAAAAACTTAAGAAAAGGAGAACCTTTAAAAATTGTTAATCCACGCGTGACAAATTGATTACTCGATCGAGCTGACAATATTCGCAATTGGACGCAAATTGAAACGAATCGCAATGTGACGACCATCCTCGCACATGTTCCTCAATAAAGGCCTATCAATTTTCTGGTAGAGCGCGAAGACTGATCGCGGCAATTAACGACTTTCTCTTTTATCCCATCCTGGGACCGTTCGATCTTATCGGCAATTAATTTTCGTACGATTGCAGGAGGGACATTATGTAAACGATCGTCCCTAGGTGGATCGTTACCAGCGCTCCCCCTCTTACACGTTCCCTCCCTTTTTCTCTCTTTCTCTGATTCTCTGTGAACACAACCAGTCTAATTACCGGTACATACAATCGCCACGCATACACGTGTGTAAACGCGTGGTGATATTTCCTTTTCTCGATTTTAACTGGATCTCTCCAATACGTCTAGGATTTATTTGTAACTTAATCGCGCGAGTCGTGCAGGCCGAGGACATTTCTCTTGCCACGAATTTCACGTTTACGCGCAACCGGATCTCTCCCGATCCGGTTAGAATTTATTTGTGACTCAATCGAGACGAGGAAATTGTTGATAGCCTGCTATAGTGAAATTGCCAGTTTCTTTTTCTGGGTGTCGTGTAAACAGCTGTCTAATAGGGAGAGGAATGTTCGTGTGATTGACCAGGTATTCACTTATTTTTTTCTTCTTCTGATTTTCTTTTGATAGTTCTCTCTAATTTTTTTTTTTTTCATTCAAGTTAGCGTAGATCAAGTGCATTGTTTTTAGTAATTTTCTGATTGAAAAATCATCTTGAAATTCATAAATTTATAAATTTACTCGTGCTCGAAAATTATGCATTACTGTCACATTCCATACATTACATATATAACTCTCTACATCTTTATTTCACGGGATTTATACTCTCATTTCAAAATTTTAAAGTTTCTCTCGAGATGAATTCTTAAGTTGTTACATTTCTTCATATGAAACCAATTGATGTCCGACAGATAGATATACATTCTACAATCTGTAACACATTAATTGATAACGATATACACGAAGTATGAAAAATTATTTCAAGATATGAAAATACCGTTCGATTTCATACTTTACACAATAAAAGATATATTTGTGTTAAACTTAAAGTTCATAATACAAGAAAACTGAAGACGATAAAATGAATACTACGATTTGAATATTATTACTTGCGACAGATAATTATTTAAATACTAGATAGTAGATATACTGTGTATGTGCGTTTCCTTTGGTTCTCTGCGTTCTCCTCTCGCGACCAAACTCGAGGAATAATGCCAGAAGACATTAGCCACCGATTTACATAAACACCCCTCCCACGTTTGTTTCGCTGCCGTCGTCGGTTAGCTTCTCTAGCAGACCCTAAAGTGTCTCATTATAATTAAGAAGTATCCTGAAAATTAACCGACAGAAAAACCGGCGCTGTTGGGGAGATGAGTAGGTGGTGCCGGTCCAAATGGGCTTCTAAAAGTTTCTCGCCCTCGATTCTCGCGATCCTCGATCCTCCAAGAGAATCCTCCAAGAAAAATTCTTTTCATTGCGAGCAAATTTCACGGTTCTACGGCCTTTTTCTTTGTCTCTTTTTCTTTACACATACAGAGAGATGCAAAAGTAGTGTAATTCAAACATTAGGTAAATATTAGGTTGGAACATAAATTGAAAAATATCAGATTGTAGGACGAGGCGATATGTTACAATTATGTAATATTGTCCAATTCTCAATTGCATGTAGAATCTTATTAGGACTTTAAATTTAGTATTTCTTTACAAATATTTTCGACCTTTTGTAAATTCAACTGTTGCAATGAAATGAAATTATGAAACCAATAAATTCTTAATTAATTTATTAATTTATTAAAATGTTATTTCTATTCGTACAATAAATCCGGGATTAACAAGACATATGAAATACACTCAACGAAACTTAGAACTATAATTAGATTGTAGATTCTCTACGCAATGTGCAAAAATATATACGAGACATCGAAAATAGAATACTTCTCAAAATATCTAATCCCAGAAAGGAATTTTCCCTTGTTTCCGTGTCTTCACGAGTCGTAAAAATACAAACTCGCACAAACAGCTACCACTCACGATCTTTCCAATCTTATCAACTAACACTAAACGTACCAACAAAATGACTGGCTTAAAAATTTGATTTCAAATTCTCTGTTCATTGCCACTTCTTTCGTTCATTTAATTCTTGTAAAATATATTTAAACAAAAAAAAAAAGAATGAAAATATATAAAAGTTGTTTCCTATGTTAAATCGACAATTAACTGTATTATTTTCGTAAAGTGATCTTTATTTTATTTGACCGGTTATAATAATAGGAATAGGTATACACGAAGTGCTGGTGTTAATACGTTTAGCGTTAAAATCGGTCGCAAGGAAACAGGAAATTCTCTCTTGTAACGACAACAAGGGTCGCAGAGAGTCCTCCGAGATCAGGCCTTACACGCGTCCTCCGGTTGAATCGGCCACGCGCAAGCCCACTTTGTCGAACGAGTGATCCTTGTCGTCCGACTGGCAGGCAAATTGGGTCCCGAAGATAGCACCAGGGGGATCTTGCGGACCGATGTTCAACGTCGTTGGTTACGCTGGTTTGGTAACCGTTCAAGAGACCCGCAGGCCTCTAAACATCCCATTGTCTTGTCCGTCTCTCGGTCGCCGATCGCCGAGCGATTTTTTCCTACCGACATTTGTCAAGGCTCTGCCTCGTCCGAGGAGGAATCGTCCGCTGGTTAATTTGAATTGCAAAGTCCCCGAGGGCTGAATGGGCCGGCGTCTCGCGTCTCGGAGTATCCAACAGCCGGATCGCGGATCGCCCAGATGGAGATGTCGTTTAGGGTTAAAACCGTGATCTTTTCTACACTCGTGGTGGCTCGCGGGCTCGTGCCGCTTGATCTACATCCCCGATTGATCTTCTTGTTTCTCTAACGTCTTTCTCCATTCCGATCGTGTTCCCGGTGTTCTTCGGAATGCCTTCTCGCGATTTCTCCCTTATGCTTTCAGTTTTTACGTTCGCGTGACGTGATTTGGCAATGAGGGGATGAAGGGATGACGTGATGATGTCGCCTCTATTTAGAGGCTATAGTTGCAAAATTGGGCTGCAGTAAAATTCGGAATGTTATGAGGTTAATGTGTGTTTTACTATTTGAAATATACTACATGTTGGGTAGATAAGGTATGAATTGCAAAATATATCATTGAGTGATAGCAACAACTCATTGCGTTACGAGTATTTCCAACAAACGTTTCCACTCTTATTTCTTGTAAACATTTTACGTTACGAATCGCTATTTCTATAAATGTCAAACGAGATCAATACAACGAAATCGTTGACAGACGAAAATTTTAAATAATACAAGTAACTAGATAGAATACTAAAATAAGGATTCCTCACATATCACGATAAAAAATAATTCACTTGACTTGATGACCGATCGAATCACTCTCCCGTTGCTTTAAATCCCATTAACGACGACGAGATTATCCTTTCCTCGCGGAAACCTCAGCCTCGCTAACGAAAAGAGGATTCTCGCTCTCTGGCAGGAGGGCAGAGCGGACACCCGAGACACAGAAACTCTAGAACAAACAGACAATTTAGCTCGTTTTAAGGGCACGCGTCCTAACGGACAAAATTGAAGCAGGGAGCCGAGCACTTGCCTCCGGTTGGCAAAAAATCGGGGGTTGCTTTCGGTGACTGATACGGCCCTGGCTAACGAGCCTCGAGCCGGACGATCGTTCCGGAGACTCTTAAAGCCTTCGGAGGGGGTGGTCCTTTTCTCCCTTTCTCGCGCGTTCGGGCCCTTTCCTCGTCTTTCTTTCCTCGTGGAGGCACATTAGGCACCGTCGTCCAACCTCGTATCAATCACTCGACAAGCCTGGAGTCGTTGGTCGGCGTTCGGTTGACAGAACCGGAGGTGACGCGATTGAATACCACCCTCCGGGCATCTACGGCCCACCGACGCGATGACGACGACGCTTCTGGAAAACCTCGGGGAAAGGAAATGTTCCTCGTCCGGCTGCATCCGTTTAATGGACGACAGCCGAAGAAACGATCGACCATCGCTAACGAGCCATCCGCGGAACCGTTCGTCCTTTTATTATTATCGGTTGCTTTCTACGAACTCTGGTTGAAGGGTTGCACGTGGCACGTTGTGACGAAGATTTTGTGGGATTTGATGGTGTGTTAGGGTTAGAGAAAGTTTGACATGATTTGTTTGACAGAGATGTTTAGAAAGAGAGCTTCAAATTATTTAAGATGAGGATATATATATATATATATATATATA